CGATGTATACCATGTTATATACAATATCAAATAAAGAAATGATGCTTACCTATGAGGGGAAACCCCCCCCAAAAAAACTAGCAAAACTATTAACATATTTCAAAAAGATGAATATAATCTTTAATTAGTAAATATAATCTTTAATTGGTAAATATTTTTTTCAATTTCTTTTATATCAATACTATAAGAAATTAGTTTTATATAATATTACTATATACAGTATAACAATATTGAGACTATATATTATTATCATCAAGAAATTTTTTTGATAAAAAACCTTGATCTTTACAATTAAAAAAATTTTCAGAAATTTTTGAAGAAATATTTTGAAAACCTTTGAAAACCTTCAAAATTCTTCATATTAAAATAATTCAAAGATCTTTGAAGTAACTATAATAAATATGATAATAATTATTATAAAAAAAATATTAAATAATACTTATAATAATAATTTTTCATTATTAATTGTATGTCTTTACTTTTATTATAATTTTAAAATAAATAGATTGTTTTAATTAAATGTTAACAACACTTAATCTTTTATCACAAATTATTTATTAAAAATTTTTTGACCAGGACCGTATATACGATATTTGAGAATTGCAAAAGGTGATAAAAGTTGTATGTTCATAATATTTTGACAAATTTGGTTTAGTCGTAATACAGTTGACTCGGATATGACAAGGTTGCTTCCGCCTCGTGCTTTATGGCACGGTGACAAAGAGGTTCGTTATAAATTTAGTAAATTCAAATAATATTTTACCAATTCAGAAAATATTCTATTGTTCTCTTGGTTGCCCCCATAGTAATCTCATTATAAATAGCCGCTAGGCATAGCGGGCGATTATTATCGATCATCTATCTCCCCATGTATCGATAATCGTTCTTTGTCATCACGATGCACAATGTCATTACCCCATTCTCAATTTCGACATCAAACACGTTGCCTTCGGGACTTCAACGGTTTAACGCTAGTTGGCGCATTGTCCAGGATTCTAGAAGATTCGACCTTTATTATTTCGACAGCAAAAGAAGAAAAAAATACGTTCAATCGTGTTTTCTCAAAAAAGCATATCATTGTAATATAATAGGGTGGGTGACGATTTTTTTTTTGGTAATCTCTATAAGAGATCAACGCGTGTTTATCAAGTGAACATCATTGTTGAATTCCTTTTTTCTTAATGCAGAGCAAAGGAAGATGTTGATATTGTGCGAATGATCAGCCGTTGCATTATGTGCTATTATGTGCGCGCTGGGTCATGGATTCTTTTATGACCAACGGAACTGGAACATCAGTAGTAAATGAACTGGCGCAACCTATTGAGAGTTTACAGTAGGTCGCCGGACTAGGAGGAATGACAGGAAATGGGAACTATGAATGGATATTGGTTAAACATATTCGGAAACAGGTTTTTTTTTTTTTTGAAGTGAATATATGCAGTAGATTAAATTTAAATGACGAAAACAATGAGCCCCCCCAAAACATTCTCCCAATAGAAAAATATATTCACAAAGGTGATAATGAAAAAAAAAAACAAGGCATCGCACAGTGCATGCTTGATATGGAAGTTTGATTAAGGAAAAAAGAAAAGGTACAATAGAGGATAGAATGGGTGACGGGATTTGGAAATTAGTTGTTGGACATGACTTATGATGCCATGAGATTTTAGGTAAGATACGGTCAATTATATTGTATATTATGGATGAATAGGGAAATTCGCTGTTCATCAATGTGATTTCATTTGTAATTTGGTACAATCTAATTATCATCAGTAATTGAGATCTTTTACGGGGTCATTGGGTAAAACTTTAAAAAAGGGGAGAACGGTATTCGTGATTACAAGTAATATTCGTCGCAGATATAGATAAATTTGAGCCAAAAGTTACAGAGCTGTGGTGCGTGAAGAAATGATAGCTATGCATGAATGAATGAAATCCAGTGAAACAGAACACCCGACTATATTCACCATTCTACGTTCACCCCGTAGAACCATTCTCGGCTCACTCATCCCAACAAAGACTTCCAACCGATTTATAATAACCCTCGTATGTTTTGTATTAATTTATTTATTTATTTATTACCAGGAGTGGTGGCCAGAAAAAAAACTGCCTGTGTAATATGGTAATATGCGAGAGTTGGCGCCATTTTTTGCTCATCAGTTGTCTTTGTCATATGGAGATTTATAAGTGGTCGTGTAACCGAACGTTTCTCGCGTGGTGATTGGTGCACTTTAAGGAAATTAAACAAAACAAAAACAATTTACTTTTTAGTTCAGTAGGATGTTGCTAGCAGTCATTAGTGAAACAACTATTGTTCCTTTATACAAGATCACTACAGGTTAGTGATCAAGTTAATCGTTAGAAATACATTGGGAATGGGAATGACCATGCCATGCGGGTTCATCATTTTAATAATTTAGATTAATGATAATTCCGATTGCCTTGACGCTGCGAGTTCCGCGGTCGGCCTTAAGATTATTTGTCATGGGCTGACCGGAAATCGATTCTTTGAGGGCAGCTGTATGCACGGCACATACTGTATGTATTAAAGGATGTGAATATTCGGCTCCGAATTAATTTCGTCTTATCGGAATTTCACTTATTGAGGACGCAAAAGGAGGGAATCAGGAAGAACAGAATGAAGCGGCGTTCAATGTTTGTCCATAGAGGAGTACATAAAGACGCATGCACATCACTTAAATTCTGAAGTCTCAAGTAGGTCGAATCAAATATGGGAAGAGTGATTACAACAGGTTTTCAGGATTATGTAAAAAAAAAAAAAAACTTGATTTCAAAGAACAAAGGAATATTCAAAACAAGTATTTGGGACTCCAAGTAAATTTGTATAAATTATCTTTGTCCTTTGAAATCTGGAGTCTACCGTTGAATCCCGATCTGTGACGAATGGAAATCAGAGAGATCAGATGACCAAACGGTCGCATAATCCGGAGAAAACAAAACAGATAGCAAACGGGAGGGGGGCGTTTCAAACCGCAGGATGAATCATCTCCAAGGCTCACGATTAACTTAACCAACCCATATTTGTTGTCAACAATCTAAATTTCCGAATCGATATGTCACGGTCTCTTTAATTGGTTCCAAGAGGTTTATTTGTTTTAAACGTTGTGAGTGAAGGGAAAACGAACACTCATCAACATAAAGGGATCTCATTCATGTATTATTGTCATCGGTGGTGAAAGTTACAACATGCGTGGTGAAAACAAATTCTCTTTAAGGTTGCACCTAGGTAATACACGTTTCCGTGCTTAATTAATGTTTATTTTTTATTTTATTCTTTTTGTTTTCTTTGAAGAAAAAAAAAAAAAAACATGTTCAAGAGAAGCTGTAGCTGTAGTTAATGTAGAACAATGAATTAAGGTTTCGTCAAATTGTTATTTTAGGTGTCACGCAAAAGTCGGTCGAACAAAAACATGTTGATTCCTGTTGACCCGATGACTGACTGATTAATTAATTAATTAATTAATTAATCAATTCACGTAAGATGCGAAAAACCCTTTCTCTGAGCACACCCTGTCTGCCGTACACGTTCGTACGATGGAAATCTGTCAGGCGAAAAGACCGAACAGATGAGCATCACCATTGGCATAGGGACGTTGTGGATATCAAATTTGTTTTCGTACACATAATTGTTCTCGTACACATAAAGACAGATAAATTTGTTTTCGCATACATAAAGATAAATAAATTTGTTTTCGCATACATGGAAACAAATAAGATGGCGCTTGATAAAATTTAAGGTGTTACAATAATGCGCGCCGCACTATAAAAAGTATGAATGTAAGTTGGGTTTAATACGTAAAAATGATGTTTTTTTTTTTTTTTTTTTTCTTTTAATAAAAAAGGATGTCATTGTTTCTATTGTTTTTAGTTACTTTAGAATTTTATTTTGTACAAATCTAGTTTAGCCTATCAATAATGAGATGTTGTAGAACCGTGCACAATGTAAAGAGAGGGAACTTTGAACAACCCGATTTCATAATACAGTAATAATGATGATGCTTAGTTGAACTAGTTTTTTTGTTTTTTATTCTTCACTTGCTATGCCCATTTCAATTATATGCTAGTTAATCTGAAGGTACCATTATGTGCATATCCCGCTTTTAGGTAAATTTCAAACATCCAAATTACTCCGAAAAAAATGTACATCTTCTTTTTTTTCCTTATCACCGAGATTACCAATGGATCTATCCTCATTCCGCTCGCATTTTCCCTTGATGATTTTAATTGTAATTAATGAGATAAGAATGTTGTGCGTGAACTGGTCAGATGCTTCTTTCTGATGCACCCATGTCAATCTTCGGATGCTAATCTTTACATTCCAAGTGAAAGATTCATTGTATTCGCGTATCGTATCATCAAATGTTGCAAACCTAAATTTCTGCCTTCATTAATTAATCACACAACCTCCTGGACCGTTTGCGCCAATTCCCGAGTCTCTCCAGTCATACACGCACAACGCATCGTACGCAGAAACAATGTCTTGGCCACTGCCGCACACGGCTCCCTTAAGTATTAAAAGTGCGTCATCGTCCACATCGCACGGTACACGTTTATGATTGCTCTTTGACCCCCCGCATATTCAATGTCAAACAATATTCAGCCATAATGAGTTATGACACACTAATCAACATTATACATGGGATTGTGACAATTATTGGTAAATATTTAATTACGGACATGCATCATATAATCATTCTGTTGACTAATTAGATGAACTATTATTTTATCCAAAAATAATTGTGAAGGTGAGCACCCATTGGACAACGTGTAATCGTGCATTGCGTGCACCATACCGCACGCAGCACATGACGAGACGCGCACGCAGACCTCCAACACAGCTAATATATCACGCATGTGTCTTCCTTCGGCAAAAGGAGCCATGGTCCGAAACTCTGCAAACAAACTAACCTGAGTCACGTCATAATATACAATCAGAAACGCCTCCTAAATGACAGGTGTGTAAGGCACGCGCTGAATTTGTGAAAGGCCGCCCGGCCCTTTCATATTGTTCCCGTCTGATTCTAATCTATAGTCGGGCCACGGGATGATCCAAATAGAATGCCACCTCACCAAGATGGTTAAATCGAACTCCCGTCCTTTATTTTCTCAAGGTCATCTTGTTTCTTCTTTTTTTAAATAAATGAATTACCGTCGTACAGTTATTTACCGGTCAAATTACCACATCGCCACTTGATAATTATGATTACAATAAGAATAATAAAGGATCCTCTATGTGATCTATGTATGCTATCCGAATCGTCTGACTACCGGGTGTGGATAGCATATTCGGCTAGAAATTCGGATGGTGAAACTTGATTCGTGATCAATGTAAAAGGAAAAAGAAGCTCGAAATTTTTCCTCTCACTCATGAGGACATCATTATTGTGCCATTTCTAAATAAAGAAGCGCCAACGAAACGCATGTAAAAAAGATATCATCTCCAACCATTCTTTTAAAATTAGAATTCCGTGGGAATTCCTTTATTTGGGGAATAGCATTTTTCGTGATGGTACACACACCTCTTGTACTTTAGATGCGAAATATAAACAAATCTTATTGAAACCAAATATTGGATTACACTGTTGCCACCACGTACACAGGCTGACTCAGATGTGAGTATGTTGGAATGAGAGAATGAATGTATTTTTGGATTCTTTTTTTTTTTTTTTTTTTTTACATTCTTTTCTTCATTTCTTTCCTCCCTCCTTGCTTGGCGCTAATCATCGATTCGAATCGTGTGTAATTTGTGTGCATGATTTACCAAAATGTGAGAACCTATGAGTTAAAAACATTGTTTTACCCATAAGCTTCATCATTATTAGCCAACCCACCAACCGCTTGCCTCACACGCTTGACATCTCGATCAATCATTCATTCATTTAATACGAATCGGTTGGTTCAATCGCCGTCAATCACCACCCGTCGACCACGTTACCATTTTTGTTTCGGGTGCATCATCATAGGCACGCGCATAAGAGTATCACCGTCATGATGTCGCGTGGCAGCTTTTTTCGCCCGCCCCTTCTTCCATCTCTTGTTTGTTTAGGAATCGAAGGTCTATCTACATGCGTAGATCATAACCTTAATGTCTGCTTCATAATAAAAATGAATAATTATTGTGAGATTCGTTGCTTCATTCCAATTGTATTCCGACTGCGTTTTGATGCAAGCACTACCCTTTTCATAAAACCGACGTTCAAAAAAGGTAAGTCTTCAATGAACCACTTTTGGATCTGATTCATTTCTTGCCCCCATTTTTTTTTTTATTAACCAATCAAATAACAGAAATTTGAAACTGATTCCTATTTACAAAAAAAAAAAAAAAAAAAAAAAATTCTAAGAAGTGAGGTAATCCGAATTTGGAAAAAAAAATTTTTTTACCCATTTTTGTCGTCCACATATATTGAAAAATCGGACCTTACTTATTTGATCGTTGATTAAAAAAACCTTATTGCACCGAAACGATACACTTTGGCATTTGTGACATGAGAGGGAAAAAAAAGCTGACATGATACAAAATGGTTTATTGCGCATATACTGTATGATATGCTCATACAAGTACGTGCGGATGTACAAATTAGTGATAGAATGGCGTCGATCAACTTGACAGTTGCGGTCATAGCACACCCCTTGTCTTACCGATGTGGCTGGTGAAAGTCCGAATCCAATGTAGGCGCCACGCATGCAACCCTTAACACCACCATAAATGGGTGAGAAGCGGTGGTGTTGTATACCATGTATACCGTATTTTTCCGGTGAACAGTATCCCCTTTTTGAAAATCTCAAGAAAAAATGTGGTGACTTTTGACGCACCGTTTAGGATTGTGTGTGAATCTGAATTATGATCTCCTCGGCATGGTAAGCGATGCACGGCCATGCCCTAGGAAAGATTATTATCGTCTATATAAAGATGGTTATGTAGGTGCTCACGTAGCTGTGCCCATTAGATCAGCTATTCGAGCATATGATGGATGATAATAATTAAAAAATAATAATAAATAAATAAATAAATAAATAAAATAAAACTGATTTGTTTTACAATTAAAGAAATCACTTTGATCACGGGTACGTCGGTCCTCCTCTGAGTACAGCTAAAAGGATATTCACAATCGACTCAATCGAATTGTGGTACATATAAAGAAAGGAATTGGCGTTTTTTCCCTCAAAACGTGTAATTTCCACAACCAACCCGATCAAGTGAGCTCAATTGTTACGAGTGAACATCGCGAATGGATCATTCCGAATGAAGACCGTGAATAGACCGCATAGAACAGGGGTGGGGTGTTTGTTGAACTCATTCATCTTCTTTCCTTTCCCGTTTTAGCTCGGTGCACGTTCCACCTCTTTTTCTTCTTCTTCTTCTTCTTGCCATCACCTCAAACGCCTCGTTCTAACCATACGCATCTTCACTCCAGCCATCCGAAATGGTGAACTAGCCTTTACAGAATTAATACACTTGCGATTGTTTGATTCCAGATTCGATGCCTTATTTATCTTGCTCATGCGTACATGCATACATCCCTAACCAAATTCAATCTAATCATAATTAACACACCTTCCATTCTTTGACGACTTTGATTTGATCATGTGTGCTCGAGCTTTCATTGCTAGCGTTGAACCTAGGCAAAAAAAAAATTTCTTATTGTTTCCTTGTTGACCAAACTCTCACCTCCATTGATCCAGGTGATAATTCATGAATCATCATCATCATCATCATCATCGTCGTCGTTGTCCGCCGGGGGTGCCTCTTGTGTTTCCTTTTTTCTGGCGAGTAAAAATGAACGCATTCTTGCTGCTGAATAATTAAAAAAAAAAAAAACAATAAAAATAAAAATAACAAACAAAATACGCAAATACGCATACACCTAATTACATATTTGTGTCCATTTCTAGGTGGGATCTTATCGAATCCCGTGAATCACAAATTTTTATTGTCTCCCATAATCGTTACCGTTTGCATACACGATCAAATATGGCAAAAAAAAAAAAATTTTTTTTATTCGTTTTATATTATACACACATATATACACTGTAAAAGTATTTCGCCTTCAGGTGATTTCAAAGTCCCACGATTAGCGCATCACTCGGTTGAATTAGGATATTCACTCTCCGAAACACACCGTCCATCTAGCACAAACGGGGCCAAATTGATGAGATCGCTATGATCCTAATCTTTTTGGCTTTAAATAGACTCCCCACCTAATCACACGCACCAGTAATCTATATGTTTCCATTGTGATAACGGTGCATTCAACCAAAACCTGTTGAGGAGCACGTATCGATGAGACTAATAATAATGAGACGGTACCTCATAAAAAAGGCATGCACCTTTAACACAACCAACCAACTCACTTAACAGGTGTCTCCTCCCCCGTCCGGTGGCTGTTATCTCTTTGAGATCACGCACACAAAAGCCAACAACAATAACAATCGGGAGTGTTAGCTGACGATGTGTGATTAATGACAATAATAATTATAGTAATTATTATAATAATAATTGATTTTCTTGATAACAATGATGATCTACGAAGGGGAGCACCTATCGGACATTTTATTTTCGGCAAAAAAAATGATTTTCTGGAATTTCCCAAACTCTTTAATCATCAAACAATAGGATCTGATGGATCTGATTCTGAAGGTGGTGGTGCCTAGAATTGAAGAGGCGACATCCTCATCCAATCTTTTGCCCCCGTGATCCTTGCCCTTCATCGTGGACCGGTCGGCATTCCTTTTAAAATGCATCCGGTTTTCCGTGAACTTCTCGATGGTCGAATCGGTGCTTCGCACCTATTATGGTTAAGTTTTCCCAAAAAATTTTGACCCGCTTATCGATTTATTGGGATTTCTCATCTCTCGATCTTTCACCTGTCCAAAGAGATCTTCCCTCTGGTTGCACGCGATGCCTTTATCTTCCAATTTTGGGAAGGAGCTCTTATTTCTTAAATGGAGCATTATCAATTATTTTTGGCGTAGTTGAGGAATCCTTTATTCTTATCATCCTTTCCTTTGTCAAGGTGTTGTCGGCTTGTTGATTCGCACGTTATTGTCCTTTGCTCGTGAAAATAATAATTATTTGGGCACGCCGATCCATTCGTGATTATTTGCCTGCTCAGCTTCAAGGGTTTCTGGGACCGATCGACGAATGGGAAATGTCGTAAATTGTTTTCAATTGTGAGCAAACATAATTATTATTCTTTTCTTTTGTTTGTCCGATTTTGAAAACCGTATAGAGTTGCACGTATGTGTAATCGATTAAATTCAGGAACAACCGAGTGTTAATGAATACACGTAATATATAAGGTAAAAACTTGATCATGTACTGGATTTCTTTTTTTTTTCTCGTGTTTTCAAAAAATCGCACCAATCCGAGCGCTCTGGCATAGCAAGATTTCTGAGCACGCATCCATCCAACAACACCTGGTCGACGAATCGTTACCACAAATGACCGTCCTTTGAAATGATTGCGGATCAGGTATTGGTTCAGGTGTGTTTAGTTCCATATACAGTAGGTATTATTCTTCTTTTGTCCGGGATTCATTGTTCTTGTGGGAAGGGATGAATGCTGTGAACTATACCTGCGGTCTATATATATCATTTTTTCTTGTGTTGTCTTCCTTTTTCCCTCTGTGGGTAACACGCGACATTATCTGTTCTACTAACATCATTATTCCTGTTGTCATTTGCGAAGGAGGAAAGAGGAAACTTGTTTAACCAGATTGTTTGATTTTTGTTTGGCACTAATTTTTGGAAATTTACACCAGTTCCCTGTTAGCCATCGAATATCATAATAATAACATAACATAATAAAAATACAATAATTAATAATAATTAAATAATAATAATAATAATAATAATAATAATAATAATGATAATGATAATGATAATGAATAATGATAGAGATAATAATTAACAAAAATATCAATTGCTAATATTTAATGTCGAATGATAAAGCTTGTGAATATTTTTAGACTAGGTGACACAATGTTACCATTAGCTCATTTTCTTCACTTGCAAACTTAATTAATTTATTAATTCCTTAGTCAATTTCCCGTCCCCGACATCCTACCCTCCTGTATGGCACGGTAGGATTGCACGGGTGACATGGATAATGTCGTGTTCCATATTGTTACAGGAAAATAATGTGCTGACGGATGGATGCTGCGCGTCAAATCTTTTTTCTGTTGGTACGTTTCATGCTTTGCGGCGGCGATCGTTCACCATTCTATCACACACCGGGAAAACTTTGACGTGAGGTGATGTGTGAAGAGCTCTCGTGGAACGATGGTGGCATAGAGGAGGGAGATCGATTGATTGGTGCAATGAACATCAATTTAACCATCATATAATCGTCGGTGTAATGGTCACGAAGGGTGACCGTCTCTGTCGCACTTATCACCGCCATTATCATAACGATATGGTGGGGTTAACCTATTACGTACGTTAATTAATTAATTGTTTTAAAATGATACGGTGTGGGATAAGAGCGGAGGGGGAGTGAGAGTTTCGAATATAATAAAAATAATGAACTCGGATTAACATTTTGCAACACATTTTTAATATTCCTGTACGTAGTAATTAATTCATTATGTCATACCAATCCGATAATTCGCTTGTGTCATTCTTATGCCACACGATATCTATGAGAGGGACATTTTCGCATATTATATATATATATGCATGCATCTGAGAAAACGAAAACAGAATGATGTGATAGACATGTCGTACATGTCACACAAAAAAATCTTTTTTTTTTTATTGAAGGATTTTTTTTTTAAAATGTATCATACATTAGGTGGGCGAATATGCTATTACTGTGTATATATTCTAAAAGGGTTTAAACTATTGTGGTGTTTTGAGTTCGTGTAATTTTCTTGTTTTCGTCCATATCTTTTTTTTTTACTCAACTTACAATAAAGCCATTATGCACGCATAAGAAAATCGACCATTGAGTTGTTTTACTTTTAAAGAGTCCACTTATAGTTTTATTATGCATATATCACATTTTTTTTTTTTTTTTTTTTCTTAAGAGTAGTGTATGTGCAAATGTGCAATTGATAATAAGAATCTTTTTTCCTTCGTAAGCTTTTTTTTTTTTTTAAATATCTTTTTATTGTATTTGATTGTTCTAACAGTTGTTTCACACGAGCTCTCATTTAAACTTTTATGATTATTATTCGATAATGTATAAATACCTCCAGCATGCGTTTCCCTCCTCATTTCACAATTTTCTAAAATTTTTTTGTTCATGCTTTGATTCTGTTTTTGATGATTTTTAAAATAACAGAAGTTATCCTATAATATATATATATATATATATATATATCCCGCAAACACACACACACATATATATACTGTATATACTGTATATACGCGTATATGGTATATGTATTATATATTGTATTTTCTATATTTGCGACAAACTAACGAAACCGTTTTCTAGTTTTTTGCTTATCTGCCCGGTTCTTCACTGGCGACTCGCTGCCTCTTTCTTTTCTCCAACTTCACTTTTCTGCCCCACAACACGAATAATAATAATAATATAAATATATATATATATATATAATATACATTGTCCCATAATTCGAAGCATCACTCTATAAAAAAAAAAAAAAAAAAAAAATCATCATCATCAATCATCAACAATAAAATCTTATATTCGACAATCATTTCCCATCAGTTTCCCCTTCTCTCTCTTCTTCTTCTTGTCACTACTACTTCATTCCTCGTGATATTCGATTTCTCTGAGAAATTGGTTTACGTTGAACAAAGAAGGTAAGCATTTTCATTCTTCGACCTGTCGTTGCCCGAGATTTGCCGTAGGAGGTTTCGGAAGTTTAATTCTCTGGGAATCGTGTCCGTGTCAACATGTGGAAGGGGAATTGGTTAGAGGTGCAAAGGACGCCTACGGAAAGGTGTTGATTCGGAAGATTCCCTTGTTTTTTCTTTTCATTTCTTTTGTTTGTTATTATTTTTTATTATTACCATTATTATTTTCTTTATTTTATCTTTATTCTTTCTTTCAAAATCTAAAATTTCCTTATGCCCCTTCTGATTTACAAACTGTTTCGTGTCCTCCTCACACGTCTCACCCTCTTAAACACCCATCGACAACATCTCTGACCTCGAAACTTGTCAACTCATACTTAAATCGATCAACAATCGAATTTCAATATCCGCCGATTTGTCGGACTCTTTATTGAAAAACAACAATCACGCCGCCTCCCCCAAAAAAAAATAAAACAATCACATCGACCCCTTTTCTTTCTCCCCTTCAAAATCCCTTGAAACAAAAAAAACCATTGCCGCTTCCTCTCCGAACGGCCGACCGACCCACTCAAATATTTCAGTCGTTTCGGATATATTATATTCACCCGAGTTCTTACATCCTGAGCTCACCCTGACGCACATTTTACGACTTCCCGCACAATTACGCGGTCATAACTTCACAATTACCTTTCCAACAACATCATCATCATCGTATTTAATATATAATAAATAAAAGTCATCAAACTCTTGTCATAAATCAATAACGTATTTATTGGTATGTATCTTTTATTCATGACCCTATTTATACGTTAATATGATAGTAAAATTACGCTTTTCGCCTTATGCGTAGTTTCCGTTGTTGACACGAGGTGTTCATGACATTTCATGATGTGACCAGTGTCATTATTTCATTCTTACGTTCCAACCTCCTTGCTACATCTTCTCTCCTGTGACCCTCACATCTTCACACCCTCATCCCCCCTCACTCGCTCACCTACACGTTCATTCATTCATTCATTCATCTACTCATCCATTCATCCATCTGTCCAACTACCCACCCCACCCATTCATCTTTCCATCGTTCTCACATGACAACCGATATCTCGTTGCTAGACGATTCGATTATTGTATCATCATGATAAGAAATTTGATTCGCGTGTTTTTGTTCTTTCCTCCCTCCCTCTTCCCTCCTTCAATTGATTTCTCTTAACCTTTGATCATATTCATTTGAATTTGAGTTGAACGGGTGGTTTTCATTGAATGTGCGATTGATCCAGGGTGAAACATTTTGTTGTCATTTATTAAATAATGCGTCTATCTTGGGATTCCTAATTTCTTCTCTTGCATCAACATTCGAGGAGGCAATCGGATATCATTATAATATTGATAATAATTGTTTTTTTCTCTTCATTTGACCTTTGTTCTTTCATGTTCCTTTTAAATTTATCTCTCATAGACACCAGCAATTATTGATCTCAAAATTTCTCTCTCCTGTTTCTTCTTTTTCTTTTCTCTTTTTTTTTTTTTTAAAAAAAATACATATAATTCCATTTACTCTCCGACTCGCTCACTCACTCTAACCTTCTCGGATCACCTTTATATAGGAAAAATGTCGAACGACGGACCAGAATTGACTGCGCCAACGACCCCTCCTTCCTCTGCATCATCGAATGTCTCGTCCACTACCACCATTACCACCGATAATCATTTGATTAATGAAAATAACAGTAATAGTAACAACAATAGCAATAACAGTGCCACCATCACCACAACCATTACCGACACCGCCACTACCATCACCACCAACACCGCTATTAATCTTAACGAAAACAGGAATCCTTCCCCACCTTCCTCGCCAACAACACCCACCCCTCTGACAACTAGTCTCGAGTCCCTAAGCCTCGACACTTCTCAACTGAATAATGAAAGTGATGAGGATGAAACCGATGAGTTATTGCCCTCTCCGGGTCCACTGCAACAACAAAAAAAAGAGAGATATCTCTCATCACCAATAACGATTTCATCTACATCACCTCTCATACAACCCCTCGACAACGCTCGCTCGGCTGCCAGTATATCAAACCTGATTAATCACGACGAAGAACGTCCAATTAATTCTTCCTCACCCACCGACACAAATTCCCCAACTTCGCAAATGAGCAGCAGATCGATCTCTCCTGCTCCGGAGACTCCGAGGAACAACGTCAACAGCGTCGGTGTTGTGAATGAACCGAGATTCATAAACATCGAGTTTCACAACACTAATAATTCCGACTTTGCGGCCGCTGCTTCAAACTCCAAGAAGAGAAGAAAGGGTGGTCACGATCACGACGACGACGGTGGAAGTAGCAAAAGTAATCGTCGCGAGTCTGACTCTTCAAAGAGGCAAAGACGCGGTGCCCACAAGAATAATCATACCTCCTCGAACGTGATCAATAGCATTAGCCCCGGGATGATGGTGATCGACGAGAATGACGAACATATCACCCTCAACGATGGTTCCATACCCCCCTCGCCGGTGCCATCGTCGGGATTCGACGAGATGGTCTTGGATGATCAAGTTTCCGACGACTTCTCGGGTGCCAACTCACCTACGAGCACAGGTGGGGGAATATTCGCCGCAAAACAAAATCGTAAGAAACCTTACATTCCACGACCACCGAATTCCTTCATACTCTATCGACAACATCATCACCCGCTCATCCTCAATCAGCATCCCGGCATCAACAATTCAGAGATCTCTCGTATAATCGCCGACCACTGGCGAAAGTTGTCCGATCAGGAAAGGGATGAATGGAAGAAGAAGGCCGAAGAGGCTAAGGAAAAACACATGAAGGCCTGGCCGGATTACAAATATCAACCGAGGAGGAGGGTGGTCGGTCCGACGTTCAAGAAACCGTTAAAGGGTCCTGGGGCACCTACTACCTCAAGCGGCGGTGGCTCCACGATGAAGTCTGACAATATCGGAGATTTTGAATTGTCCACAAGTTCTGCATCGCGTCGCCACATGAGTCGTGATAGTCATGTGGGTAGCTTTGTGTTGGAAGTTCCGAGAAAACCAAGTGCGGACAGGGAAGCTCCTTCGCGCAACGATTTGAACATCTCGCAACGCGACATAACCGATGGGAAGTTCCTCATCGTCGAACGTGGTCCAAAGGAATTGAACACGTGCAAAATAGGTGAATATTCTGATCACACAATTATTACATTATTATTACCATTGACTCCGTTATTATGACGTAACTGATCATTTGATAAAATTCTAGATCGAAAACCAAGTAACAGGAAACCTTCAACCACCGAAACGCTCAAGGCCCAAATCTCCTTGTCACATTCGGCGCCCAACATCATACCCCAGCAAAACACAACACGTTTACCTCCACCGCACACTTTGGTGGTGCCTCCTCCGATTCAGACGTTGCCACCTACCCAAGCAGGAATGATCTTGCCCACTTCTCCACCGCCTTCAACCCACACCGCTCGTGGTGCACTGATTGTCCTTGAAGGATGCGAAGATGTCACAACGTCTCTGCAATCGACAAAGTTACTCGAATTCCTGAAAAACGAGGGGATAAAGGCTTCCCTGTGGAAGTTTCCTGACACCTCGACACCATCCGGCACAGCGTTGAAAGCCTATCAGTCAAGTAATCGTCAACCACACCCAAAAACCTATCACCTGCTCGTTGCCGCACATTGGTGGGAATTGATGCCCATAATGAGAGAACATTTGCTCAATGGCACCACCCTTATTGTTGATCGTTACGTGTATTCCGCAATCGCAAAATCGGCTGCAGCTGGTCTGGACTTGAATTGGTGTAAGAATAGTTATGTTCAATTGATGGATCCCGACCTGATCTTTTTCTTGAATGTGGAGCGGGATTTCTCTGCCGATAAAGAGCAACAGCTTCCGCATGTTCAAGACGTGTTTGGCGGTCCAGGTGTAAATGGTGAAAGTGTTGCCGAGGATGGTAGACGCAATGTAGAATGGCAAAAGAGAATGCAGGATGCATTTGGTAAATTGGCGGAAGTTCACTGGAAGGTAAATTGATACATATATATACATATTTTTGCAAATGACGTTTTGCACGGCATCATTCATATATTTGTGTATTCCTTTACAGATTTTAGACGCGTGCAAGTCAAACACACTTGTTCATGCGCAAATTCTTGAAGCTTCAATTGAAGTGATTGAAAGGTGTCGCAAATTTAACCCAAGTTACGGAGGTAGTATCAATAATAATCTGATAATGCAAAATCCACACTTGCCTCCGCTCGGACCACCGACATCATCGCCGGTTCAACCGTACCCCCTAGTCAATCTAAACGGTGCGCCGAATGGTCAACCGACAGGTGCATCTCAATCATCACCACCACAACAGGGTTTACCGCCCATAGGGAGACACGATGGATTTCCTAGATCGGTTCATGTGCAATTGTGAGATCGGGCTATTCTGGTGACGATGTTTTGATTCAGAGAAAGTGTATTGATAATAGAATGTTCGTTGTTGTACGCTCTTCATTCTAAGAAGGCGTAGATACCGTCAGCTCATTTGAGATTAGTGAAAAAAAAAAAATCTTTGATAAACTGTAGTTAGCGTTTATGTAAATCGGAATCTTAAACATTATATATACATATATATTGTTTCATTTCTTTACTTGCAATATTTCCTTTTCTTATAAATAATTAGTCTTCCCAAAAAAATTTTATATACATATAAAACACAAGTGCTACCTCACTCCATTCACTTTACTTTTTTTCTATTTCTTTGTAAATTTTTTCTCCGTCACCTTTTTATGTTCACGCGTTGACGCAATCTTTTTTTTCATCTTTTTTGCATTTTATTTTTCCCCATGCACATATTCATCATCATCTATCCCTTCATCTATCATCTCATTTTTAAAAACACTTTGCAAGCGTCTTCACACATACTTTTACATTTCTTTCTTTCACATAAATAAACATCAGAGGAACAATCATGCACATAAGCAAAGCTTCTTCACTGTTAAATAGTGAAATGACGTTTTTACTTTTCATGTACACATAACGCACTTTTTTTTTTTTTTGACCATTTTGAACATATTAAATTTTTTGCTTAGATATGTCTAATATGGTTCTTTATGTTCACTATGTTATATATTTTGCTCCATTATATATATATATATATATTATATATTCGTATTGTGCAGTGACTCGACCCAAAAAAATTTTCCTGTTTCGTTTTTTTTTTTAAAAAAAAAAACTTTTGTATATTCCTTGATTTTTTTTTTTTTTTATTTGTTTCGTCATTCTTTTTTCTTTTCTTTTGAGCTGATCCTTGTTCAACGTGCATACTAAATAAAAAAAATTTCTTTCTTTTCTCAGAACCTTAATGAAAAGGTTTTTTTTTTTTTTTTCTCGAAATTCTTGGGGATATTGCTCTTAATGGGAATAAGACCTTATGATTTTTCCAATTTGAAAAGTGTTTATTTTGCTTGGGGGTGGGTAGATGTGATGAATGGCCATCTCATTTTTTTAAAAAAAACTCGGAATCCGTGGATTTGATAATATAAGACATTGTTCTCATATAACTTCATTTTCGCTAATAACTATTAACATATCGATTTGATGCTTCATGATTTTCTTTTTTTTTTTTCAAATAGATTTTAATTTAAACAAATACGCACCTTTCTATTCTGTCAAGTTTCTAAAAGTAATTAATCGTTTCTTTTTCTTGAAAAATTTTTTTAGATTACACATATACAGACTTATATTTATTTTAATTAAAAAAATAATCTAATAATTGTTTACAAAAAAATTGCTTATTCGAGTTTTTGATTTTTTTTTTTTTCATTTACATCCAAGTCATTGGCAAATTAATAAAATATATATTCTATTGTGAATTAATTGGATTGTTTCCATGTACAGTCTGATTCAAAAAATTTCTAATTCAACAACTAATTAGTAAAACAAGATAAAAATACAAATATAAACATTTTAAGATATGAAGAATAATGTTGCATAAAAAAATTTTTTTAACCACCGCATCTTTCTTAAATTAATCTTATTGAATCATGATTAAAAAAAGAATGGCAATAATTATAGATTTATAAAATTTTTTTTAAAAAATAATTTATAACTTAAATATTTATTTTTTATGAAACTTGTTAATAGACAAAGAAAAAAGGTTATCTGGAACTGAAAAAGTATCATATTTTTGAATTTTCTGCTTAAATTCTGGAGTTGCAAAGATATAATGCTATCTTGAAAAAATCTTGGTTGTATCAAGTCAACTTTTACAATAATTGAAAAATCAATATCTTTTTTCTTAATAATAAATTATACAGTATTAAAATTTTTATTAGTATTTTCTAAACTTTAAAAAAATTTAAGTATCATTTTCTTCTTATTTTCAAATGTCAACTTGCTAGAATACCTATTGATAAAAAAATATTTACTATATACTATATATTATCTCTAAAAAAGTTACAAAAGGATAAGTCTCTTATCTAAAGAAATTATTATCTTGAAAAAAATTGTTAATGCTTTTTCTATCAAAATGTTAAATTAATTATTATCTAAATAAAAAATTAATTATCAAAAAAAAAATCCTTTTCCATTTATCACATATTTCTTAAAAATTTTCTTTTTAAGAAATTTTTTTTTTTTAAAAAAAGAACTTACTAAAGAACTCATAAATATATTGATTAATAGTATTATATTGTATTTTTTTTAAATATATAATTTTTGTTGGTAAAGAAGCCATAAGATTGAAAACAGCTTTCTTTATTTTCAAACAAATTATATTAAATAGTAAATTAAAAATATTACTAAAGTTTAATATGACTTTTTAATAACAAAAAATTGTAATATTTTTTATATAGCTAAAAAATATAGACTAATACAATATGGAAAATATTAAGAACCATAAATTCTTCCCACTGATCCTTTTGCCAATCCAAAAAACAGATGTTCTTGAAAAGTTTTTTTTATTTTTCAATAATAAAGTCTAATTACTTTCTTTAATAACATATATTTTTGAAAGCAAAAGCCTCTTTCACTTGTCTACTTTTCTTTCTTCAAAACCTTTTGGATATTTTAGTAACAAAACATCCAAAAATTTACTTATTTGGTTTATGACAAGAACATCTTATTGGGAAGAAAAAATCTGTGAAAAAATGTTCTCATTTATTTTTCTTCAAGATCTGGAATTCTAGAAAAGCCCACTAATAAATGTATTTCCCAAGTTCTATAAAAATCTTGAGTCCACCATAAGTAAATACCTTTGTTGGAGATGGATGGATAAGTTAGTGTTCTGGTCTATAAATGTGAACATATGATTCTCTTCACCAATTAAATATCTGCAACAGCCCTCTCAAGTATGTTAACAAATTTTCAGAAATTTTTGAAAAATTTTGCTTATCTCAGTTTGATCTTGAAATTTTGTTATATCAAAATCTCCAGTTGATGATTGATCAAGATCTTGAATTGGCTAATCAACATATAGCAAAAATATAAACAAGATATATACTCCTCATGTATTTTCATTACATAATATAACAATGATGATATAATTGGTAAAAGTAGAAAAGCAAGATGTCATGGTGTTCTTTTGAATAGAAGTGATTTGATATTTCCTCCTCCTCTCTTGGACTGGTTTCTTTTTTTCCCAAAATCAAAAGAAGTCTCATCTCAATCCAGTAACAAGCTTCCTCTATTGATAATTATCCTGAGAAGGTATTAAGCATGTCAAGTTATAAGACTTTATAAGCAATAATTTCTACAGTAAGTCTTGCTATAAGTATCTTGAACATTCTTGGTCAAAAATGGAATAGTGGAAATTAAATGATTCGTTCAGCTGCAAGTGGTGGTAAAGGATTTATCCCAATGGACTAAAGTTAATATTGAAGAGTTTTTATTTATCAGAACAAACTCTTCAATTACTTTTTTTTCTTCTCTATTATTTTCTTTAAAAAAAATAAAAAATTTTTAATCTCTATAGGATCACAGTTATTATGTAGGGGTGACAGTTCTGAATAAAAGCTGGCCATAATATTTTAGACTGGTGGAAAGTTATCAAAATAGAATTGAACAATTTCTTTATTCCTCATAATCACATTTAGAGACCTTAGACTTATGACGGGTGTGTTGCATAGTTTCAATAAGTTTAGCCTTATATAGTATTTCTAAATACATATATAAAATTCTTCTACAGAGGGTGATCACAGGTATCCGAACGACACGTATTTTATATTTATTTATTTATTTATTTATTTATTATTTATTTACATTATTTATTAATTATGTAATCTTACATCATAATAAATGTCATAATTTAAAAAAATTTTTTCTTAAAATATCTTAAAATAGTTAAGACAAAAGAAATAACCAAAGAAAAGCTCCATAGGTCACCAGGTGAAGGTCTAGGGTTCAACCCCACCTGGTTACAAAAATTTATCACCTTCATGATTG